TTGAATATGTCTCGTTCTTTCTCTAAGTGCCTCTCTTTCTTTTAACCCTGATACTTAAGGTCCATGTTAGAAGTGTCTTAAGTAAATTCCAGCTCTTCATCATATGCTTGCTCATTGAAATGCCTTCTGCAGTGGCGCTCCTAGGACTTGCCTTTCAGGTAACTCATTGGATGCTGAAGGCAGCCCCATGGAACCGTGTCTCTGCCTCCCCTGGCATGCACACATGGACGTGTGATCATCTGCTGAAATATATGCATACGTGTAAACAGACATAATGCCTGTGGTGGTTTGAGTCAGAATGCACTCACAGGCATATATTTGAATGCTTAGTCACCAGTTCGCAGTGTCTGAGAAGGATTAGAAGGTGCGGCCTTGTTGGAGGAGGTATGCCAACTGCGGGCACACTTTGAGGTTTTAAAAGCCCATGCCAGGCCAAGTGTCTTTCTCTCCTCTCTTTCCCCTCACTCCTTCTTGCCCCATCTGTGGATCAGCTGTAAGCTCCCAGTTACTGCTCCCAGCACCATGCTGCCCACCTGCTGCCATGGTCCATGACATGATGGTCTTGGACCCTAACCCTCTGGAACAGCAAGCCTCCAAATTCAATGCTTTCTTTTATAAGTAACCTTGGTGGCGGAGTTTTGTCACCACAATAGAAAAGTAACTAAGGCAGTGGGACTTGGCTCTCACCGTTTGGATTTCCAAAAGTGAACTCATATATGAAAGGTATCTTTTGCTTAATTCAGTGTCTTACAGTGACTTACCTGGGGTATAATAACTCACCCTTTTCAATAACTATAATTCTGTAGCATGGGTGTTACTGAAACTGTGAGTACAAGTAAATCAACTGGGAAGTTAGCTTACAAGGCTGAATCCTGGACTTGAAGACTGAGAAGAGAACCCAGGGAAAGAGCTGTAAAGAGCAGCCAGCTAGTACAGGAGAAACCCAGCGTGTGGTGTCATGAAAGGTAAGGAAAGGGACTTCAGGTGACAGAGGAAACAGTGCCAATGACACCAGAAGGATGCTGAGATTGTCAGTGAGCATCAGCAGTAGCAGAGCTTACCTGCCCAACTTCCTGTGTCAGCCAATGACTCCAGAAGGATGCTGAGACCTATCAGTGAGCATCCGCAGTAGCAGAGCTTACCTGCCCAACTTCCTGTGTCAGCAGAGAAACTGCTGCCATGGTCCATGACACGGTAGTCTTGGACCCTAACCCTCTGGAAATCCACAGACCAGCTCTTCACATCATCAGACCTGCCCTCTCCATCAACAGACCAACTCTGTGTCATCAGACCAGCTCCCTACATCAGCAAAGTGCCCCAAAATTTGTTAAGAATACAGCAGTCTTCCTGATGTACAATTTTAATGAAGGGTATTTTAGTCAACCACCATCCAAAACTTCAAAGGCAAAACTCTAGAAATTGATTTGTAAGTTGAAAACCGCATGCCATTTTGAGTTCAGTGATAAAAATCTCGGGCCATCCAGATCCCTCCAGCTTTGGCTGCGTACCACTCGCGGTCCATCATATCCACACTACATACACTACCTGCCCAGTAGTAACCCAGCCCCTTTCTCGCAGTTCACAATGGGTTGTATGTAGGGCCAGTACCAAACATGATGTCAGAGCATAGTGCCTCCAGAGGTGTTCACTGTAAAGTCAAAATTCAGTCATGGTCTCATTTTGCAGTTCTGGGTTATTATTGGTTGCTTTTTTTACTTCGTAAGAATATGGCTTGGAATTTCTTGTGTATGTGTGTGTCCATTCGTATAGAGGCAAGACTGCTTTCATCAGACCCAGATACGCCTTGAACACCCCAGGGAAACTGCTCCAGGCGGTGTCTTCCAGTCAATCGCACAGACACATGTTCCTGTTACAGGGGTCTTTCCTCTGCCAAGGACAGCTGGGGACCGGCAGCTGGCAACATGGATTACTGAACGAGAGGGACGGGAACATCATGCCTGGCTGCCTTGAGGGCCCGAGGCCAAGAAGGTCGTCTTTCTGTGCCACCTGAGCACAGCCCAGCGCTCTTGGATACCCATCTGATTCCCAGCGTACCTCCGTTTCCTGTTCAATGCTCTTCTTACTGCAATCCTATCTGTCAGTTTTGTACATGTATGCCTTGATCCGCATTGACAAAGGTTCTGGAAACGGTGCTACTCCTCTACCTCACTTGAGAATCCTATGATCCCTAGTGACAACATCCACAAACTGGTTTCCGGGGAAATCTTTGCAGGTCACTGGTTTCTTCTGCACTCTCAGAGGTCGGTGGAATCCCCAAGGCTTTCTCAGTGGCTCCAAACCCATCTCTCCTGTGGTGCCCTTGTTCTCCTGATTAGTTCTTTCTTCTCTAGTTCTAGTTCATCCAACCCCACCCCACCCCCCCGTGTGGGAAACGTGGTGCTCAACACTGGGACACGGAGCCCCTTCCCAGCTTGGAAAAGCACATGCTGGAGATGTGTTGAGTCACAGTAGCACAGATTCAGCAGGGGGCTGACATTCTAGGCTCCCCTGGCACCCTGAGAAGGTTGCCATCCTTTTGCTCAGATGTGGAGGAGGGGCAAGGTCAGATCCCAGAGGGATTTTATCAAATGGGGGAGGGAGACTATTTGAGTTGTGGTTTAGTTTGATAGGGCTCTGACAGAGAAACAGATGTGAAGAAGGCATTTCTCTGATGTGCAGAGGGAGCTAGAATTTGAAGCACCAAAAGGCCCATTGTGAGTTAAACTGAGGAGAAACAGTCCAGCTGCTGATTGCCTATCTCAGAAAGCCTTACCCTGCCTGGTAACCATGGTGACTTACCCAAGGTGTTCATGGTTGTGTTAATAGTGTTAATCAGAGTGCAGAGGCAGAGGCCTTGCATCCTAGTCCTCAGGAGGCAGAGACACTCTTATCTTTTTTGAATTTGAAAGCTTCCTAATCTATACAAAGAGTTCTAGGCTAGCCCAGGTTACACAGTGAGACCCTGTCTAAAAAAAGATAAACTATATGTTATTATTATATTATTAAATAGTGACTAATGTGTGTATTGTACTAAACCATACAAAGTTTTCTATGTATACTATTTTGTTTTCACAACAATCTGATATGTTGATATAAGTTTTTGCACAGGCTGAAGTAGAGGCTCTTCTGGGACACCCATGAAACTGCCTAGTATGTTTACATAGGCTTATAAGGCAGGTATGTTGTAGAATGATATTTTTGTACACCCTGAAGATGTGTCTCTCTGCCAAGGCACCTTCTGATTGGCTTAATAAAGAGCTGAACAACCAATAGCTAGTCAGAAGAGGATATATGGGACTTCCAGACAGAGATAGGAACTCTGGGAAGAATCTGAGGCATGTGAGATTTGCCAGTGAGCACAGCAAGTCAGACGCACAGTATGGAGGAGAGGTAACGAGCCACACGGCAGAATGTAGATTATATAAATAATCTATAGGTTATACATACTCTATAATATATATGTAATCTGCAAATTATATAATTAATAATTGGGTTAATTTAAGTTATAAAAGCTAGTTGGGAACAAGCCTAAGCTAATGTCAAGCTTTCATAATTAATAAGAAGTCTCTGTGTCATTATTTGGGAGCTGGCAGCCCAAAGTCTGACTACACAGGTCCTAACAACATCTAATAGTTCTTTTTAACAGATGATTCTTTTGTTATTTTTATGTGTATATGTGTGCCTGTGTGAGTTTGTGTGCACCAGGTGCCTGCAGGGGCCCACAGAGGCCAGGAGGCTGTTGCATTCCCTGGAATCAGAGCAGTAGTTGGTTGTGAGCCATCACACGGGTGCTGAGACCTGAACCCAGGTCCTCTGTAGGAGCAGTCAGTGCTCTTAGCTGCTCAACCATTCCTCCAGCCCTGCACCTGTCAGTTCTCACTCTGTTTGATGACTGTAGAGACCCGGAAATGTGAGCCTATTCCACCTTGTCTGAAGATCAGAGAGTTTGAGATTACTTTTGCTCTTTCAAAGTAAATAAATTAGAGAGTCTGGCCTAGGGTGTGGTTAATTAGTATTTTGAGTGTTGAAGGAGATCTGCTTTACCTGGACCAAAGGTTGGAGAATTCAAGTCTATTCCTTGTGTCATGCTAATGAAGTCTGTTGCCTCCCCCTCCCCTTTTGGAGTGAAGTATATAAGCATATGGAAGAATAAACGAGAGGAATTTAGTATTCGCTGAATGTCCCAATGCTGTTCTATGTTTCTGTCTTAGTTCTTCTATATCTCTGTTCCTAACATTTCCAATCCTTATGCTCCTACCCTGGAACATGTGAGTTATGTTGAAGTTGGCTTTTGACATACGGCAGCCCAACATGGCACGGTTTTCGACAGATGGCCAAATGCACTAAGTAATAAGTACTTCCCATGTGCTGATGAGGCCTATGTCCGAAATCCTGGAACCTGGAAACTGACGGTGTTCAGACGAGGACATCCTTAAGCATGCAGTCACGGATCTGGAAACGGGGAGATCATCCTGATTGTTCTCTGGGACCTTAAATGCCAAGGCAAGTATCCCTGTGACAGACCCTGGGACCTCAGGAGCGAGACTTAATGACATGTCCACGGTTATGAATGCTTACAGGAGCAGAGGTGGTGGCACGTGCCAGTGTTCAGAGCACTTCAGAGGCAGAAGAGGGAGGATCATGAATTCAAGGTCAGGCTGGACTAGTTAGTGAGACTCTTCTCAAAAATAAATAGATAAAAACAAAACAACTACTGACAGCCAGCAGAAACTGAAGGAGAGAAGGAAGATTCCTGGCCGGGAGATTCCAGAGGCACAAGGCCCTGCCTGCACTTAGAATCTATATCTGGCCAGCGGGCTCCTAAATTGAAGTTATTTTAAGTCTGTGGTTTTGCATAGCAACCATGGAAAAAGAGTACAGTACCCCAGAATTGCTCACTTAGTCACGGGAGTGACTAAAAAACCGGCACCATCTATCTATTTGGGGACCAAAGACTAAAGAGTGGCTCATGGTGACTCCTTTAGGAGCGTGACTTTATAAGCAACAGAGGTGGGGCTGGTGGTGGCTGTGACAGACTGAAGGGTCAGAGTCAAGATGACCCGGGAGAAAAAAGTGGAGGCTGAATCAAAGAGCTCTGTAAACAAATTAAGGTACCAACGAAGCCGCCTTCTCTAACAGCCTGGGCCCTCGGCATTACACTCTCAGTGTCTGGAAGGTTCCGAGGAGAACAGGAACGGGATTTTGTTCAGGCTGAGGTAGAGGCCCTTCAGGGACACACATGAAACGGCCTGGTCAACAGCTGGATAGTTCCATCTGAACATCTGGAGCTGGGGACAAAGAGGAGCGTCCCTGGCAGTGTGTGCAGCAGGGTAAGTCCTGTGGAGGATGATCACCCAGGTAAGAGGGGGACTCCTAACCTCACCTATTCCAGACAAGGAGGGCAGATACGGGCAGTGAACCCTGACGGAGTACTTAGAAAGGGAAAGGGGAATTAAGGAGTCCCCTTGGGAATCCTGGGAGATTTCCCCCCTCCATCTCTCATCTTTCCCATAGAATCTGAGAACATTTGATGTTTTTGAACTGTTTTTTTTTTTTTTTTGGCTTTCACTTTCCATTCTTAGTTTTACAGAGAACAAGACTGGAATGTAAACACACACTTCATTGTTCTCTTAGAAGCATAATTCTAAAGAATCTGCACATCCCTATAACCAACTAGGCTAGACGGCAGAAACTGGCCATTATGGCTCGTAAGGGATGGAGGAACTGACGGTGCAGTTAGTAATCATGATGCTGGTGTCACAGCTAACAGTCGGGGAGGTTGTCTTTCCGCGAACGCAAAACGCTGAGCTGGTAAACTCCCGCTGCCTCCGCAAACAAGAACCGCAGAGAAAAGCTTTCCATCTGTCACCTGGCAGAGCGCCTTTGAAACAGGCCCAGCTCGCTCTCAGCGCTGTCTGCAGACAGAGTAGCCCCGAGCCGCTGACCCCCACCCCTCCCGCCGCCCCGCCCACAGACTCCGCCTCTCCCCCTCCCCTCCCAGGCCCACTGTATTTGCTGTTTGCCAGACCACGACTAAAGAACCAGCTTGGCTCCTTCTCTCCCTCCCAAGCTTCCCTGGTTCTGTTCACTGGTCTTCGACCCTGCTATCTCTGCAAGGACACTGTTTTGTTTTTTCCTGGTCCTTTTGACTCACTTGTGCCTCCTTGGGTTAAACTCTCCTCTAAGAGCGAGGCACACCCCTAAAGAGCACTTCAGACACCCCCACCTACTTCAGACACCCCCACTGCACACACGGCACACCCTGCCCCGCAGTCCCGCAGCGTGGGCAGTCTTACTTGACTGGAGCTTGGGGTCACATTCAGTGGGGCACGGAGCCTTGTCACAACATTGGGCCATCTTGTCCCAAAAGGCTGTCTCCCGCCAGCCCCAACGTGGCAGAAGAAATACTCCGCTCGGAGCCCCACCCTCTGAGCTGTGCCTTTGTGATGCGTCGCTATGGAAACACCCGGCAGCCTTCCTTTCCAACGAGGCTCTGGCCCCACGGCCCAGAGGGTAGATACTTCACAGGGGTGGGTTGGGGGTGTATCCCTGGCCTTCACCGGCTTCTCTAGTCCTAGCAATACTTTCCACGCCATTGTTTTGTGTACTGGCAAACAGGAGCAAACTGAAAGCTAGTTTCAGACCTTGTGTACTGGTGTACACGTGTGAGTGTGACCCCAGAATTAGAAGGCTAAGGTAGGAAGGAGGCCAAATCCGGAAAGAGATGCCTTGCCTCAAAATATTGAATACCTCAAGTATTAAAAACACCAAAGTGGACTGCCAGATTCCCAACGACACATTTGTGTCCACTCATAAATTTCAGTGCAAGCAATTGTAGGCAAGGAAGGCCTGGAAATTTGCATGCGCAGGATCTAGTATGAGTGGAAAGGCGCTTGGAGGTTCTCTAACAGGTCCCTGCTAGGGTCAACCCAGAGCCTAAGCCAGGAAACACTAGGGTCAGGCTAATTACAAAGAAAAGCTTATTTTGCCTTGAGGCTTTTTTTGGGGGGGGGGGGTGTACAAGTCCAAAGGGGTGTTCAGGCATGGTGGCACAGGACTGCATTTCCAGCACTTGGGAGGTGGAGGCTGTAATGGTCTCTGTCTCTTTAAGAGACAAGCCACGCCCACTTCCTCCCCCATCCGCTGAGGCAAGCTGATCTTCAGCTTCCTGCCTTCAGCTTCCTGCCTGAGTTCTCTCTTTTTTTCTAGCTCCCTCTCTGAGAGGCAGCTTCCAGCTCCCTCTTCTCTCCTCTCTCTCATCGCTCGGTCGGGCCGCGGTGTTCCCTCGAGTCCAAGCGTCCTTTTTCGTGTAGCCTGTCTCCGCTACTGCCCGGTGGCATCATGGCTGTGTTTGTCGTCGCTCTCCTGGCCTTGCAGGTGATGGGTACCTTAGGGAATGAATTTAGCATATTAAGGTCGCCAGGGTCTGTTGTTTTCCGAAATGGAAACTGGCCCATACCAGGAGATCGAATCCCAGACGTGGCTGCATTGTCCATGGGCTTCTCAGTAAAAGAAGACCTATCTTGGCCAGGGCTTGCAGTGGGTAACCTGTTCCACCGGCCACGGGCTACCATTATGGTGGTGGTGAAGGGAGTGGACAAACTGGCTCTGCCCGCGGGCAGTGTCCTCTCCTACCCTTTGGAGAATGCAGTTCCTTTCAGTCTCGACAGTGTTGCGAATTCCATCCACTCCTTATTTTCTGAAGAAACTCCTGTGGTTTTGCAGTGGGCTCCCAGTGAGGAAAGAGCAGATATGGTGGGGAAAGCAAACTCTGTTTTTGAAGACCTTTCCGTCACATTACGGCAACTACGTACTCGTCTGTTTCAAGAAAACTCGGTCCTCAACTCTCTTCCCCTCAGTTCTCTGAGCAGGAATAATGAAGCTGACCTGCTCTTCCTTTCTGAACTGCAAGTGCTGCATGATATTTCCAGCTTGTTGGCTTGTCATAAGCATCTAGCCAAGGATCATTCTCCCGACTTGTATTCATTGGAGCTGGCGGGATTGGATGAACTTGGGAGGCGCTATGGGGAAGACTCTGAACAATTCAGGGATGCCTCTAGGATCCTTGTGGATGCTCTCCAGAAGTTTGCAGATGACATGTACAGTCTCTACGGTGGGAACGCAGTGGTAGAGTTAGTGACTGTCAAATCATTTGACACGTCGCTTGTGAGGAAGTCAAGGGCCATCCTTGAGGCAAAACAAGAGACCGCCCCAAATCCCTATAACCTTGCCTATAAGTATAAATTGGAGTATTCAGTGGTTTTCAACTTGGTACTGTGGATTATGATCGGCTTGGCCTTGGCTGTGATCATCACCTCTTACAACATTTGGAATATGGATCCTGGATATGATAGCATCATTTACAGGATGACAAACCAGAAGATTCGGATGGATTGAGTTTTCCTTACGCTGCACTTAGATAACAGGTTTTGGGAATTGGCTGTTCTGTTAAAGTATATCTTTTAGTATGGTTTAAAGTAGATGGTATACCTTAAATTTATTTTAAAGAAAACATACATTTTGTTCTCTATTTTGTGTGTGCCTGTTGTTTCCTTAGAGTGGTTTATAGTGTTAACACAATTGAATTGTGATGTAGATTCCATAGATGTTCAAATATTGTTGATATAGCCATGGAATAACATAATTTCATTCCATTTAATACGTTTAGAAATATGCACTGAAGGAAATATAAACCATTTAGAGTAGTTGTGTGTTTCATGTTAGAGAATGCACTGGGTTTCTTAGAAGCTTTCACATGCTTGAGTTCCTTGCACAGGACAGATAAATCCTAGTTCAGCTGTTATTCACTATGAACTATTTGTAAATGTCTCAATCTGATGTAAATATCTCTGAGACAGGAGGGAAGGTTTTAACTAAGAGTAGCCCAAAAATACTGGATATGCTTATACAATAGCTTAGTTTTGGAAGTGTGTGTGTGTGTGTGTGTGTGTGTGTGTGTGTGATTGGCAGGTTAGCTGTTTTTAATCTCTTCTGCAAGTTTGGTGATCTGTGTGATTTAGTAGAGATATTAAAACATTAAAAATACTGTGTTGATTTCAGACTAACCGAGAGCCATGTCAGGTGATCAAGTTCTCCCATCTTTACTGAGGTATACCCTGCCTTGTCCCCTGCTTTACTTATGTTTTTGTCTCTAAATTCTTCTTGCTGACTCTGTTACATGTGTGTTTTGAGAAGTGGCATGCCTTTGGTAGGGCCCACCAAGAGCATCCACTTCGCCCAATTCCTGTTTATTCTATGTATGAGTGTTCAACTTAAATACACCCATGTTTAGTGTTATATATTATAATTGTCTGTTTATTGCATCTCATTCCAGACTACAAAAACAGTAAGTCTCATGTTTTAAACTGGTATGTACTTTTAAGTTCCTTACAAAAATACTTTATATTTAATCCATTCCTCATTTAAAATATATTAAGATGTTCTCTACTGTTGTCAGTTCTGCCGTTAACCTATTGCAAGCAGTTTTTTCTTCTTTCTGTCTTTTTATGAATGTGAGTCTTACCTGTTGAGAGTCAGTACAGTCAAGCTCAGACCTAGCTTTCCAGGCAGATTCTATACTGTAGTTACACCTAATAAACAGCCCTCAACTGCTCAGAGATCTGGGGAATATGACATTTAAATATTTAATTATTAAAAAGCTTTTCATAACAAAGGGACAGTTTGGCTCCTAGTAGCAACACTCTACTTCCTCCAAAGAAGACAGAAAACAAATGGGCACATAACAACGTCCATCTGCAATTCGCTGCAACTGCCAAGTGCTGACCACTGGGCAAATTGCCTTTCATTTAAATTAAAGATCTCCAGATGTGGACAGAATCGCTGGAATCGACAGCCTAGCTACTCAGGTCAAGGTAGGCTTGTCTTCCTACAGATTTCTTAGCCCACAGGATCTTCTGGAGTCTGGCAGGCCCTGCACTAAACAGCAAAAGGCAAATGTGACCTTCATGAAGCAACCATGGAGGACCCTGAGGAGTAGCTCTAGGTATTGACCAAGTAAGTTCTCTGTTGTTTTTTAATCAGTAACTCAAGTAAAATTTTATCTTTCTCAAAGATCTCTGATGCAGTTTGACAGCTGAGAGGTTTTGTCAGTTTAAAAGGACAACCTCACCAAACAAATTTCAGTAAAATACAAATACAAGATCTGCAAGTTATAAAGGTGCGAGAACAAATACAAGTTATCAAACTTCTCTCTCATGCTGCCTTCCATAGTCTTAAAAATACTTTTCATTGTGCAAAAATATCTGTCACAGTCATTCTGACATAAATATGCTACTGTTTATACAATGTGTATGTCTAAAACTTCTGTTTTCACAAACCCAAAGAATTCTTGTGAGCTCCAGGGAGCTGAATTGAAGGAGCCACCTTAAACAGGTCAGACACATCCCCCTCAATTCCCTGGTCCTAAAATTGTTTTTCCTTAACTTTGTCCTCTGTTCTGCCGATACCTTAAACAGGTGTAAGAGACACCAGACATTTCCACACCACAAACACCAGACAGGAGCAAAGAGCCCAACTATGCCAGGATGTGACCAGTACCCAGCAAAGGTCCCCCCCCTCCCCGCCCAAAGACAATGCCCACAAATAAGCAGGAAGAAGTCTGAAGAATCCACCGTCCCAATTCCTTTAACCTGTGATGCCTAACCTCCCGCCTTTTTATTATAAAAAAGAGATGGGAATGTAATGATCTGTCTCTTTAACAAACAAGCCATGCCCACTCCCTCCCCCATTCTGAGGCAAGCTGATTTTCAGCTTCCAGCCTGAGTTCTCTCTCTTTTCCATCTTCCTCTCAGAGAGGCAGCTTCAACCTCCCCCCCCCACTCTGCCTCTCTGCTCTTCTCCCCTTCTCCCTTCTCCTCCATAACCCCCTGAATAAATATCCAACCTCACTCTGCATGGTATGCCTATCTGTCTCTCACCCGCCGCCACTGCCACATGGCTCACCTCGGAGACCTGCAGCATGGTCTCATGTGCAGTCTCTGCCTTGGACTGACTGCTCTTGGGACCCCCTGCCCACTGCCTGCCCCTGCTGGGGAGCCCACAGCAAGCTACTCAGGGATCCGCAGCAATTTTTATTTTTCCATTACAGAGGCAGCAGACCAAGAGTTCAGAATCACCCTCTACTACATAGTGTGTTCAAGGGCAGCCTGGGTTACAGGAGACCCTGTTTTTAAAAAGTATAAAAACATACAAACTTCATTTCCAGTACCAACCATTGGATGCAGTGAGGGCCAATACGCTACTGTATGCTGGCCCACCCACCTGCCCACCTGTGTATGCATGCTAGAGTCTGACTTTTTATTCTCCATTTGTGACCACTCTGTGCCAGAGAAATTTTTATGCAAGCTAGGTGTATAAGGTTTACAAAACAGATACACAGGTCAAACATTTATTAATAACCACAGGGAACTTTATTTTAAAACAAGTCATTGCTGTGCATATAATTTTACCATCTATGAAAGATAAAAGCAAATTTTCATACTAATGAGATGGTTTTGCTTGTTTGTTTTATATAAAGAATTAAATCTTGGCTGAATATTAGATGCTACCGGGTTCACTGTCTTCAGCTCTTCTCAGCATTGGCCAGTACTTTGATTTCTGTAATCACCAACACCGGAATACCATTTTGCATAAATACCAAGTACAAAGTGCCAGAAGTATGCTTAGTCCCATTTCAAAAACGGAAGTTCTGCCCCAACCCTAATCCAAAACTCATTACCAGATCTTTATGAAACTCAAGTCAGCAAATCAAATAGCCCTTTTTTTAAATGGAGCATTCCTGATTGAGGCTTAGAGGAAAATAGCAAAACCTTCCTTGGTGGTCTGAGTGTGGGTGTGTACAGCGTGTGCAGAAAATGTGCATCATAACTTCACCCAGAGATCATTACGATCTATAACTGTCTCCATGGATACCATAAACCCTGACTCCCTGTTTATCACCATGTAATAACCTGGTCTCCTTGCTCAGATCTATGTAATAACCCAGCTCTCTATTCAACTCTATATGATAAACACCCTAAGCTTTCGGGGTCCTGGGGTTACATGATTAATTTTGAACTAACATTTAACACTGTACATGCAGGAAACTTAGTGCTGTTTGCAGCCCCTCGTTCACTCACAGGACCCCTCTGTAGGACCAGCCATGGCAAGCTCAATAGAGGCCTGACTCTCAGTAGTTTACCTGGTTCCAAGAAAGATCACAAACTGAGACCACCTAGGCACCAGCCAGGAACAGAAAATTCAAAGGAAATTCCTAAAATTCCAACCATTGTAGAAAGGATCACCTGCCAGCACACACCCATCCTTTTCACCAGGACACCCCTAGACAAATGTCAGCTACCATAAAAGCCAACCCTAACTGAGCTCAGGACTCTCTGATCACTCCAATACTATGGATACATGGAGAGTCTGAGTTTGCGAACTTGTGTAAGAATAAAGGCTCTTTGCTTTTACATACAGAACTCGGTCTCCTAGTTGGTTTTGGGGGGACTCTGTGATCTGGGCATATCATTCCCTCATAGCACAAGAAGCTGCGTGTTCATCACTGGGTGCAGACAATATCTTGTGTTCATATTCCTGGCAACTTCTGATTATAAGTCACATAGTAGGTGCTTAGTAACTACTGAACGGTTCCAGAAAAGAAGACAGCTACCATTCACTCTTGGGAAGAGGGCTCAGGAAATACGCAATGGAGATTTCTGGAAACATGTTTAGTAGGTGATTGACAGTCTGGCCTTTCATCCCAGCACTCTGAGAATCTGAGACAAACCTGGTCAACATAATGAGTCTAGCCCACCCAGGGCTGGGTAAGGAAATCCTGTTTTTTTAAAAAGGAAATAAAAATAACAAATTTACCCTAAAAGGAATAATTGTAACATAAGATCTTAGAGGAAAATAAGGCCTCCCAAAGAGGACTTTATTTTATTAAGAAACATTGAGATCATCAAAGATCACAAATGTGTCTGCAAGCGACATTTTTATGATTTATTTTTATCATTTTTAAATGTGTGTGTGTGTGTGTGTGTGTGTGTGTGTGAGAGAGAGAGAGAGAGAGAGAGAGAGAGAGAGAGAGAGAGAGGTGGGCAGGTACCTGAGGAGAGCTGAAGAGGACATTAGATCCCTTGGAACTGGAGTTACAGGAAGCTATGAGTCACTGGATGTGGATGGGGGAGTCTGGATGCAGGTGCTGGGAACTGGACTTTGGTCCTCTGCAAAAACCACAGAGCATCATCTTTAAAATTAAGAACTAATTCAGAACGTTCTGTTAGGGGAGCCTCATACACACAATGTCAGGAATGTAGCACATTTTAATGCAGTAAACAGCAGAAGAAGTTAAGAGGCACAGACGTCTGTCAATGGTATTTAAAAAGGAATGAGTCTAAATTAGGGTTTAGTAGTGGCATCTAAATTAAGAAAGTGACACCCAATAACAGATTAGCTGTCTGGAAATGG